TGAAGAGCTGAGAGACAGAGCCCAGGCCCAGAGTTCAGGCCCCATGACGGACAAAAATAACAGGGGTAGGAGTGTGGCTCAAGTGGTAGAGTTCCTTGAGTTTCTTGCTAGCAAGCCCAAGGCCCCAAGTTGAAACAACAACAAAAAAGCAAAATGAAAGAAAAAGAATATGGATCTGACTGCAGACTAGCTGAAACAGAAGAATGGGTAAAGAGTGCAGGAGGTAAGTAAGCAGGTGGGATTCTATAGGACTCACCTGTATGATCTGAGGAGTGTTGAAATTGTGAGCTTGATCCTACATGTGATTGGGAATACTTTAATGGGAATCATTTGGCCCTACTTGTATTTTTAGTTGACCATTCTGGAGTCTGAAGAGTAAGTGAGGATCAGTAGGTCTCCATTATTGATTGAGCTGTATGGGCAGAAGAAAGAGGGAAGCCCTAAACATATCTTTAACCAGGAGGAGCAACTCTGTGGAGGACATGGGAGGATACAGGATGATGACAAGTTCACTTTGAGCTATATTGATGTTGCGGTGAGACTCTGAGAAGGTGGTTGAATTTCTTCGATCTGGAGCAAAGAAGCCAATGAGGAACTTCAAGAGCAAAGCCCTGGCCTTTTTTCTTTCTCCTACCTTCTTCTCAGGAATCTACAGCATGGTGAGGCTGATTTATTTCTTACCAAAGTCTACCCTTTCCCTAAGGAATCTGCATATATTCTACAAACTCTCTTTACTCTTCCATTACCTAAACCCTTTCTTATCTCCCCACCTGCAGCCATCCTCATACTAAACTTTACAACTGGACTGTGCTAATTATTCCACATTTGGTCTGGGTTGTGCTGTGGTAGTGACCTTTTTGGGGATGTTCCAAGTCTGTACGGTTAGCACCCATTAATAAATACTAAGGACTTAGCTGGTCCAGGCTCTGGGTGATCCCTACGGTTACAGGTAACAAGCAAGGGAGACACACAGACCTTGTCTTCGTGGCATATACAGCTCAGCACCACATAATGTGAAAGGAGCAAGTCTGAGAAAACATCTAGGCTGTTGAAGAAACATATGATACAGGGGTCTTTTTTGTTGGGGTCCTCGACCCCATTTCCTCCCCTCCCCCAAGAAAGTGTCCTTCTAAGTAGTGCTGTGAATTAACTATGAAGAGTGGTAAAGAATATTTTAGGCGGAGAGAATAACATATATACATGCACAGAACGAGAACATGGTATGGTCAAGGCATGGAGGGATAGTGTGGCTGTAGTTGGGGCAGGGAGGCCAGCAGAGACAGCAAATGTCCATCCCAATTCCCTGGACCTGTGGGCCATACTCCATCACTTATTCATCATATGTTTCTTAGTTGTCAAATATATGCTAGGTGGTTTTGGGTGCTGGGATTGTTGGAAGGAGCAAGCAGGTCAAGGGTCTTATGCTTGAGGAGAGCGAAGTAAATACATAAAGAAATGGGGAAGGGAGACCTCTCTGGAGAGAGTGGTCAGAAGAGGCCTCTCTGTGAGGTAACATTTGAGCTGAAGTAAGAAGGTTGAGTAAAGAGTCACAGAGAATGAGAAGTGCCAAGGCCCTGTCATAGGCATGTTTGAAAAATGGAAGAGATATTACTTACGTTGTGTGTAATTAGAAAGAGTGGAATGAAAGGAGAATGAATTCAAGGACCAGAACTTAAAACATCATGCATGGTAGGAGCTGGGAATGTGCCTTAGTGGTAGAGTGCTTGCCTCACATGCATGAATCCCTAGGTTCAATTTCTTAGTACCGCATACACAGAAAAAGCTGGAAATGGCACTGTGGCTCAAGTGGTAGGCACCAGCCTTAAGCAAAAGAAGCTCAGGGACAGTGCCCAGGCCCTGAGTTCAAGCCCCAGAGACTGGCAAAACAAATACATTAAAAAACAAGCAAAAGATCATGATAGGTTACACATAGTAAGTACAGAAGTAATCAGATTTGGATTTTGTTTGTTTTAGACAGGAATTGCTACATAACCCAGTCTGGCCTGAAACTCACTACTGTATATATAGCTTAGTCTGACCTCAAACTTGACATGCTTTTGCCTCAGTGCTGGGATTACAGGTATGTATTAAACTATTCCACCCAGCTTTTTTTTTTTTTTTAAGATGGAGACTTGCTTTGTTGCCCAGGGCCTTGCTTTGTTGACTCAGGGCCTTGCATGACTGATGCCCTACCATTTGAACCATACCTCCACTTCTGGCTTTTTTAAAAAGCTGGTTAATTGGAGAAGAGCATCTTGAGGATCTGTCTGCTGGCTCTGAACTATGATTCTTTAGCCTCCTGAGTAGCTAGGATTATAGGTATGAGCCACAAGCATCTGGTTCGAATATCTTTTTAAAGCACGAAGACTGGTTTCAGGAGGTCTTTATAGAAGTTGAGCAATGGTGGTGGTCTTGACTAGGTTGGAAATGAAAGCTATGGAGAAGACTAAGAAGCTCAGAGAGAAAACTAGAAATGGACAGATCTAAGTGATGGATTAAACATGGTTTCGGGTTGAATGACTAAAAGCTGAAGTATGACATCTGGATATCCCAGAGGATACACTGTTGTCTGTCTACACACAGGTCTTAAGAAGAGCCATCTAATGCTGGGCTCTGGTGGCTCCCACCTGTAATCCTAGCTACTCAGGAGGCTGAGATCAGAGGATCACAGTTCAAAGCCAGTCCAGGCAATAAAGTCCGGGAGCCAGCCTGGGCTGGCTTTGAACCGAGCTCCTCAGATCTCAGCCTCCTCAGTAGCTAGGATTACAGGCATGGGCCACGGGTGCCGGGCTTCCATGAGACTCTTATATCCAATAAACCACTAGAAAACCAGAAGAAGCACTGTGGTTCAAGTGGTAGAGCACTTACCTTGAACTGAAGAGCTTAGAGACAGTGCCCAGGCCCAGAGTTCAAGTCCCACGACCAATCAAAAAAAAAAAAAATAAGAGCCATCCATGTCTTAGTCCATTTTATCTCTTTTCTATTGGTACTGGGCCTTGAACTTAGGACCTGGGCACTGGCCCTGAGCTTTTTTTTTTTTTTTTTTCCTCAAGACTAGTGCTCTGCCACTTGAAACACAGCTCCACTTCTGGCTTTTTGGTGGTAAGGAGATAAAAAGTTCATGGACTTTGCTCCCATGATCCTTAGATCTCAGCCTTCTAAGTAGCTAGGATTACAGGGCATGAGCCACTCAGCTCATTTTCTGTTATTATGACAGTACCACAGACTGGGCAAATTAAAAACTATAGAAATTCATTTGACTCATGCTTCTGGAGGCTAGAAGCCCAAGAGTCTGCTGCTAGCATCTGGTGAGGCCTTGTGTGACACTGTAACATGGTGGGAAGACAAGCAAGCCAGAGAGGAATTGTCTGGGACCCAGGACTAGTGAGATTTGCTCCTGTGTAATAGATTAATCCAATCATGAGGACTTAAGGTCCCACCTCTTACTGATGTCCCAGTGGAAATTAAATTTCAACATGAGTTTTGGAGGCATATTCAAGTCAAAGCATCCGGTCTCTTTTGGAATAGTTGTATGTGGGTATGAGAGTCATGGACACTCAGGATGGAATGAAGGATAAGTAGTGCTGACTCCAGCAGAGTGGACTAAGGAGATAGGACCCAGACAAGTCTCCTCTGGGAGGCCACCATGTTGGTGATTATAGAAGACTAGTTTCTGGGTAATAGCAGAAACGTTTTGTTAGTTTGGCCCAAATAAGAAAGGGCTTGAGGTGGGGTTCTTGCATAGAACCAGGGGCTTCAGCCTTTGGCTATTATAGAAACCTAGTTCAGGCCTGCACAGAAAAGGCAGTCCCTTAATTCAGACAGCAAATCGTCTTGTCCCAGTCACTTTCCATCAGAGGTCAGAAGTAGGAAAATCATGTCCAACCCTGGGTGGAGCTAAAGCTTCAAGTGGGAGGGCTCCCCTAAATCTCCCCAATAAGCTGTACACCAGCCAGGAAGGCCTGCACACCCAGGGTGAACCCTTGACCCTGGTAGCTCCTCACCTTCCATTTCCTAAAACCCGGCCCTCTGTTTTTGTTCTCTAACTCGGCAGTGGTCTCAGTGGCTGTCAAGACAAGTGAAGAAACTGAAGATGAATTGGCAAAGTACAAGAGTAGTAAGTAGCACAGAACAATGTGAAGGTAGGTTGCCTGCTAAACTTTTTTTTTTAAATAAGTTTTTTTTTATTGTGAAAATACTGTACAGAGGGGTTACAATCAAGTGAGCAAGGTAATGAGTACGTTTCTTATCAAACATTGTTGCTTCCTCCTTTGTTTTTCTATCTCCACAATTACAATCCCCCCCCCAAACTTTTTAAGAAATAGGAAAACAGGAAGATGGTTATAGAAAAGGTTAAACAAGAGCCAAGTGTCAGTAGTTCATTCCTGTAACCCTAGCTACTCAGGAGGCTGAGATCTGAGGATCATAATTCAAAGCCAGCTTGCATAGAAAAGTCCAGAAATACCAGAAAACTGGTGCTGTGGCTCAAAGTGGTGTAGCACTAGCCTTGAACAAAAAAGCCCAGTAACAGAGCCCAGTCCCTGAGTTCAAGCCCCAAAACTGCACAATAAAGAAAACAAGCCTGCTTCAAGTTTTCCTATATCAAATTTGTTAGTTATCCCTGCCACTCACTTTCACTTATTCCAATGACCACGCAGTACACAAACCTTTGTTTTTTACTTTATTATACAAAAAAAGGGGAAACAAAACTTCCACAGTTGGCCTTAAGCTTAGGCAGACACCTCTAAGCCACTCCCTCCCACCTCCCATGATACAAATTCAAGTGTGGTTGTTGTTGAAACCTACAAAACACTCCTTAAATATTAGAAAAAAGGGGGTGGGGAATGGGGATCTTCCCACCCCAGCCATCCTGTCCCAGTGCCAAAATGCACTCAGAGCAACCTCTTACAGCACCAACGCCCCCACCCCCGTGGCCCTGTTTATACTGTAAGAATTTTTCAGTTTTTAGAACAGGGAGAAAAAAAGCATCCTGTTCATGGTTTTTTTTTTTTTTAATGAAAACACATTCCACTAAAATATAATAGTGTAGGGGCATTCAAATAAGGAAATAGGGTTCTCTGTAGGGGCTCTCAGGAAGAACCAGAACCTGGAACCTCCTGTACCTACTTCCAAGATCAGGATGTGAACAGGAGTGGGGATTGTCCCTTCCTAGGCCTCCCCAGACCAGCACCATAGTCCAGGCCAAGACAAATGTGTGCTTTGAGAGATCCACAGCTGATTGGAGACCCTCATCTTCCTATCCTACCACTCTGGTGAAGGCTCCCCTTCCCCCATTCCTAGCTTTTCTTTAGAGGAAGGTTGAAAAGCACAAAGCCCCAATTAAATATGCTGACATGATTGTAAAAAGAAAAATAATAAGTTTTGACAAGTCTAGTAAAAAATAAAAAAATTTAAAACCCACAGCGCTAAGGTGGCTTGGCTTATTAGGAATCAGGGGATTGGGGTACAAAAAGCTTGGGATGATTGGCAGGGGTCAGAGAACAGTTACAGAATGTACTTTCTGCAGCCCCTCCCCAGCTAGGGAGGGTGGAGGGGATAGGGAAGAGGGGAGCAGACCTGAGAAATCAAAGGAAATGGGAGTGGGTTGAGGATAGAGGGAAAGGTGGTTAAGGACATGTAGGTAAAAAAATCCAAAGATACTTCCTGAAGCCCAGTTCCTGGGCCCAGGGTGGCCAGGTTGCTCCTCTAGTCAACTGGGAGGCCTTTCCCACAAAAGAAAAGCTTTAAGGTTCAAAACATTTACCCCTTCCCACTGGCCAGATGACAGGGACCTTAGCAGCTCAGATGCACATGGTCCTGGCAGAGGCAAACTGGTATAGGAAGCATCAGGTGGCTTTAGTTCCCCTCCCCACAATGGAGCCAGGGACCAGGCAACGCAGAGAATGTGTGGGAAGGGATGGCCTTGGCCTGTTGCTGCCAGGGTCACTATCTCCCTGCCCTCACCAACCCTTTTTCCAGATTCACGAACACTGAGGTGGGCTCCAGGACAGACCCCCTTCTTACTCACACACATACATACACACACACACATGTACTCGGATAGACTCACAGATGCACCCATGTTATGTACAAGACATACACATTCTCTCTCTCTCTCTCACACACACACACTCACACACACAACACACACACACACACACACCAGGATCATTTTAAAAAAGTCCCAAACCTACCCCCCTAAACCCTCCCTCTCCCAGAAATGACAACAGAGACGGCAGCCGAGATCGGTAGGAAACGTCTCGTTGACAGCTCAGAGCTTAAAAAAAAATATATACACATATATAAAAAACACTCTGCCCCCTTCCCCATGAGCAGGTCCAGGCGGCACCTTCCTGCAGGGCAGGGGAGAGCGCCATCAGGGCAGCGCCCGTTTTTTCAAAGGCACCCACCCTCCTCTCCCTCAGTCCCTGCCTCCAGTTCCAATGTAGAGGTCCAGGCAGCAGGCCCTCTGGGAAGGAAGAATCCTCCCCAATCTTCCATCCCACCTTGGTTTGGGCTGCAAGTGTGGAGGGCCTCACTGAACTCTTTGGGAGCCCCCCCCCCCTCCAATCCCACTCTCGGTCCATTGTCCATGCCGGAACCGCAAGTGCAGAAGGGGGGGGGAGGGGAGTAGGGTTGGGTGGGTTGGGTCGGTCCAGTGCTGGCTCAGTCTGATGGTTGCTGTCCCTGGAGGATCCCAGGGTTGATGGCTCCAAGGCTGCAGAGTCCTAGCCTGAGTTCCTCCAGTCCCCTACCCCCACCATATTTTGTTTAAAAAAAGAAAAAAAGAAAAAAAAAAGAAGTGGGGGAGGGGCAGGGACAGAACATGGGGGGAGACATAAGTGGTCAGCTGGGGAGGGGGACTCTGGGGCTCTCCCTGGCCACCTGGGGAGCTGAGCCTCAGTTGGAGTCTGAGTCTGAGGAGTCCCCTGAGGAAGAGGAGCTGGAGCTGCTGCCCTCAGACTCGTTGTCTTCATCATCATCCTCGTCCTCATCATCATCCTCATCCTCATCGTCCTCCTCATTCTGGGGGAAGGAAGGGTATGCCGTTATCAGATGGCTCTCTTTGGGGGAGCCCCCCCCAAACATGTTGTGTTTACCCCACCTCATCCCCATCCTCGCTCTCGTCCTCGCTGCTGGACTCTGAAGAGTCCCCACCATCCTCAGAGGAGTCTCCATTCTCATCATCTTCCTCTTCATCATCATCATCCTCATCATCCTCATCCTCTTCATCATCCTCTTCCGACTCCTGAGAGGTAGAGGTATATCAGGGATCTGGGGTGCCTGAGGCTCTGCTGTACAGACACCCCAGAGGGGCTTCTTACCGACTTGGATTGCAGGGCAGTCCGGCTAGACTTGGGGTTCGGGCCTCGCAACTTGGTCATGCTCTTTCTTTTCTGCAGTAGAGGATAGGGATACAGAGGGGGAAAGTTGTGAGTTTCAAACCCTGGAGTTTCAGAACCCCACAGCCTGCTACTGCCCTGTTTCCACACTCACATTGGAGATGTATTCTTTATATGCTGCACGGTCCTGGGGAGATAGGCTCTGGAAAAAGAGGAGAGCTGGTGTTAGAATGCTCTCTAGACAGGGCTGGGAAGGTGGCTCAGTGGTAGAGCGCTTGCCTTGCATGCCTGAGGCCCTGGGTTCGATTCCTCAGCACCACATAAGCAAAAAGAAAAAAAGCCGGAAATGGTGCTGTGGCTCAAGTGATAGGGCGCTAGCCTTGAGCTGAAGAGCTGAGGGACAGTGCCCAGGCCCAGAGTTCAGGCCCCATGACCAGACCTCCCCCCCCCAAAAAAAGAATGCTTTCTAGACTACTGCTGGCTCTATGTGCTGACCAATATTCACTCTCCATAAGCTTGTCACATTTGGGGTCTCAGCATACAGCTCCAATCTCAGCTCCTGCCACAAGAGTTGGTCTCTGAGCCACCCTGCACTAAGATGGTTTTTGTTTCTTCAGTTGCTGGAGGCTCTTCAGTCAGGGGGCCTTCTTCAATTCCCAAGTTCCCCATCATGACTCACCCCACAACTGGAGCCACTGATGAGGCTGTGGGGGCTAGATAAACTTGTGAACATCTAATCCTCACTGTCTCTCTAGATCCTTGGCCAATCTACTAGGTAGCTGGGGAGGACACTTTATGGATTTGACTACAACTAAGGTACAGAAGGAAGCTCAGAGAAGCCATGACAGAACCTATGAGAAGTCTCCTGGTACCAACTGGAAGGCAGCTGATTTGAATTCTTTTTTCCTTACTCTGTGACCCTGAGGAAATTTCTTAACCACTCTGAGCCCTGGTTTCTTTTTTCTTTAAAAGCTTGACAGTAACTGTTTCCCATATGACGCTGCAGCACCAAGGAAATTATGCAAGAGTGCTAACCAGCAGGCTTCCCTCTCCCTTCTGGGTTCCTTATCCTCTCACCTTGACCCAGAGGTCCAGGTGCACCTTGTACTGCTTCTGCTGTTCCTCGGCCAACTTTTTGTAGTGCTCCTTCTGGCTCTGGGAGATGCGCTGCCAGCGGCTACCAATCTCCACCATGCGCTCCTTCAGCGGCAGATGGTTCAGTTCTCCATTGGACAGCAGCTCCTGGGAGAACTTCTGATAACCGTTCCTACACCGGGTGACACAGGGAAGGTCAGACGCTCACACAATACGCCCTCAGCCTGGCCCTCCACACCAGGGCAACTCTAGCTCTGGGCTTACATGGGAGGCTTCTTGGGTTCTCCCTGGAACTTCATCTTCTTGGAAGAGTTTGTAGCAGCTGAAGGTGCCCGCATCTCACTCAGCTCTCTCTGTGGGGATACCAGGGAAGATTATATTTACAACTTCTACTATATTACACCTTATCTGATTTTTTTTTTTGCCAGTGTTGAGACTTGAACTCAGGGCTTTATACTCTAGTTTTTGTTTTTTTTTTCTCAAGGCTAGCACTCTTCCACTTGAGCCACAGCACCACTTCCGGCTTTTTCTGTTTATGTGGTACTGAGGAATCAAACCTAGGGCTTCATGGATGGTAGGCAAGCACTCTACCACTAAGCCACTTTCCCACCCTTTTTTCTTTTCTTGGTTATAGGGTTTGAACTCCAGGCCTGGGCACTGTCCCTCAGCTCTTCAGTTCAAGGCAAACACTCTACTACTTAAGCAACAGGACCACTTCTGGTTTTCCGGTGGTTTATTGGAGATAAAGAGTCTCACAGACTTTCCTGCCCAGGCTGGCTTTGAACTGCAATCCTCAGATCTCAGATGCCTGGCCCCCCTTTTTTTTTTTTTTGGTTGGTTGTAGGGCTTGAACTCTGGGCTTGGGCGCTGTCCCTTTGCTCTTCAGCTCAAGGGGAGCACTCTACCGCTTGAGCCACAGCGCCTCTTCCAGTTTTCTAGTGGTCTATTGGAGATCAGAGTCTCACGGACTTTCCTGCAGCTTTGAACTGTGATCCTCAGATCTCAGCTTCCTGAGAAGCTAGGATTACAGGTGTGAGCCATCAGTGCCTGGCTTTTTTTTTAAGTGCTGGGGAATTGAACCATGCCAGGCAAACTATCACTGAGTCACACCTGCAGTAGTTCTTCCTTTTATGTGCCAGAAAGGAGATTTAGATGCACAGCTAAGGAGCAACTACTTGCAATTGTGTCAAGCAATATCTTTTCAAAGTGTTTCCAGCATTGAACTCACAATCCTCAACCTGGAGGCTAGTACAGTCATCCCATTTTAGTAATGACAGACTGAGAATCTGGGCAGGAAGTTAAAAGACTGGGTCAGGGTCAGGCTGAGATTTCTGGCTCTGAGCCTAGTTGCTACGTAGGGCAGTTGGCCCAGCCCCTTCCCACCTCATATCGCTTTTGGTCTTCAGCTGCCTTCTTAATCCACATAAGTTTTTCTTTCTTTTCCATATTGTTCCAGGTCATCTCCATGGCTTTCAAGGCTTTCACCCGGTCATTCTGAGGAAAGACAAGGTATCAATTATAGGAGGAGTCATTTTGGGCTAGAAGCTACAAAGAATCACTTTCCCATACGCTGCCACCTTAAAGCGCGCCAGGTAGTCGCCAATGACACTCTGTTGCCAAATCTCCTCGGCTCTCTTGGGCGACTCCGGTAGCTTGCCCCGCTCTTCACGCTCACTGCCAGGCTTCCTTTCCGACTGTGCCTTCAGTGCAGCTTCGCGAGCCTTGTACTTGGCCTGCAGAGATGTCACGGGCGTTATGCCTGCAGACCAGCCCTAGGGGGCGCGCCAAGCTCACCCAGCCCAGCAGCTGCTCGCAGGGCTCCGGCTGGGAGGGTGGGGCCAGCAGGGGCGTGGGCGGCGCAGATGTCCCTGTCAGCTCTGCTCTGCCCCGCCCACGGGCTCCCCGGGGAGCCAACAGCCCTAGCTGACAGCTTCCCGCCTTCCGGCTCGCTGGGCTCTGGCCCAGCATCTGTGCCCAGTCACACGTGTGGGGCACACGGGGCAGGGGAGGCCACGCAGCTGCCGGCAGAAAGGAAGGGGCCCCAGTGGCCCCTGGAGGGACACTGGTGCCTGGGGTTGGAAGGAAGAGGGTGGCAAGCCTGACCTTCTTTTTCTCAGATAAGTCGTTCCACATGCGGGCCAGCAGGCGGGTCAGCTCGCTTTCAGAGAGTTCAGGCCGCTCCTCCTGCAGCTGCCTTCGCTTCTCCTCTGAGAAGATGAACATGGCCGACACAGGCCGCTTTGGCTTCTCTGAGCCGCCCTGGGGAGGTGCAGAAAGGTCAGGATTCCTTGGCAAAGCCCTAGGCCCATCCTGCCTGGCTGCTCTGACCCACTCACCTTGCCACCTTCCTGGGAGGGCTTCTTGGAGGCTGGGCTGGTGGTCTGCTTCTTATTGATGTTTAACATCTTCTCCTCCCCTAGGACCCGCTGCTGCTCCTCCTCAGGCAGGCTCTGTTTGGAAAGTGGGTATCATTCTGCACCCTGCGGCTCTCCAGTCTCTCACCTAGTTGGGCTTTGCAGCCAAACCCATCCGCTACCCGGCCTGAGCAACACCCACCTCAAGGAAACGGAGGAGTTCCACTTCATAATCCTTCTTTTTCTGGGAAAGTAGGAGATTCAGGGTCAGTTGTGCACAGCCTCACCAAGGGCTCAGTACTCAGGGACAGTAACCCACAGCAAGCCCCAGGGCCTAGGTGTGGACTGCTCTTCCCCAAAGATGGTAGGCAGGAGGCTGGACTGTCTTGACAGGCCAAGATGGTAAACCTAGCATGCCACCATGTCAGAAACAGTTGACCAAAGAACATGCAACCTGTGATCAAGTGGGGGCCAGACTTCAGGCATTTAACTCTCAAGGCAGGACTCAAAGATGTCTGTAGTACTCCCTGCCATACATACCTGGTCACACTTCTTGTGATAGGCGTCCTTCTCCTTTTGGGAGAGCAGCTTCCACTGCTGGCTGCATAGCACCATGCGCTCTGTGCTCGGCACATCCTTCATGTTGGCCATGAGCTCTGCACAGTACAGTGAGTAGCTATTCCTATCAGAATTGGCAGAGGCATACTTGTTAGCAAAAGGGCCTCTTTGCTGCATTCTGTGCCTTGTCCTTTACTAGCCCCACTCCCTAGCTGTCCACTTGCCCACCCGCCCACTCGGGGCAGTGCTCACGGAGGTGGCTTGGTGGGTCGCCCATCAAACTTGTCCTTGAGCTGGCGTTCAGCCTTGGTGAGGGTGGACTTGGTGATGCCCTCCTCACTGATGTTCAGCTCAGGGTGCTTCTGGATATAATCACGCATAATCTCCTGCAGTGGGGTGGGGGGGTGGAGGGTAATGGGGTGTGGGGTTAGCTGGGGCAGGGGAAGGGGGAGAGCCGCTGGGGAGGGGAGGCAGGGAGCAAAGCTGGGGGATGGCTGTGTGTCTGCTGTCACATGTGACACGGTGCCCTGCCCTGCCCTGCCCTAGCCTGAGATCTCATGGGGTGGGGGTGGGGGAACAAGGAGAAAGTAGGGGCAGAGGTGAGGGGCCCAGAAGGCCCCCTCCCTCGATGGAGGGCCAGGAGTGACTGCCATCCACAGAGTGCGGTGGCACCGAGTCAGAGGGCAGAGGCTCTTGAAGAGCCGGATGGGGAGGAGCGCAGCGGAAGCCTAACCTCGTACTCCTTCCGCTGCTCCAGGGCCTTATGAATCCATTTCAGCCTCTTTTTGTCCGAGAGCTGAGACCACTGCTTCCCCAGGGAGTCCTTCACCTCCTTCGTAGTGGCCTGCAAACCAAAAGCCGTCAGACACACACAGGCAGCCAGGGGCAGGGAAGGAGTGGGGGGGCACAGAGGCCCCACCCCCTCGGGCCACAGGGGGTCACATGAGTGTCCCCCACAGGCCAGGAGGGGAAGGCAGAGGCAGGGATCCCACCTGGGTGCAAGGGAGAGGCTCACACACGCACACGCACTCACGCCAGCTGGCCCAGGCCCTGTCCATGCAGTCCCCCCCCTGGGGAGGGGCCTCCTCTCCTGCTCCCCTGGACCGTGCCCGGCCACCTGGCGCGGCTCCCCCCTTGCCACCACCATATGCCGCCACCCCTGCCCCTTGGCCAGACACTCACATCTGGCCGTACTTTGAGATACACTTTCTTCTCATGAGTGTACCACAGCTGCTGGGGGGTTTTGGGCTTCTCAGGGATATCCGACTTCTTGGCATTCTGGATAAGGTCAGGGTGATCCTCCCTAGCCAGGGCACAGGAGCAAGGGTCAGCAGGGGACACTGCTGGGGCAGACCCAAGCTGGCCACCCCACCCACCAAACTTTCCTCACTGGGGCTAGTAGATTAGGGAGTGGCTAGCTGCCTGCTCCTCCCCTAAGATACATTATAGTTTACAAAGGACCCATCCATCTTCCGTGCCTCATCACGGCCAGCTTCAGTCTGCAGCCAGTTATCAAGCCTTTTCTGCTGTACCCAGCGCCCGGTGCCCTCTGCTGGGCTCCACTGCCTTACCTGAATCGAGCCAGGTTTCTCTCGAACTCCTGTTTCTCCCTCTGGAAGTCCTGAATATACTTCATCTGGGGGGAGGAGGGGATGGGGTCATCCAGGACCCAAGGCCTACCTCACCTAAAGCTACAAAAGCTACCTTTTGTTTTGTGGACATGTGCCTACCAGTGTTGGTTGGATATACACTAGACCTGGTGGCTGAGAAGTATCACAAGGGCCTCTCAGACACAGAATACTATATTCTATTCTCTCCTACGAAAGAGTCCAGAGGGGGATAGTATGTTACATGGCAGTGGCAGGACTGAGACCTCCAAGCCTTTCTGATACCACAGAGCTCTTTTCATGAGGAGTCTGGTGGAGACCTTGCTCATGCTTTCTCCAACTGATATTGGTCACCCGTAAGTGGTGGCTGAGTCCTGCTTTCAAGGAACTGTATTGACAGGACACAATGAATTCACAATGCAAACCCCATCCCATTAGGTCTCTCTGGAATTTGGGGTCTCTTCCCCATCCACTGGCTGAGTCTCCAAGTGGCCTAGGTATTCCTTTCCAATTCTATCTCCATCTCTTCCTGTCTCAGCTTCCTCCAGGCTCCTTGAGTGCACCACTTGCCTCCCCCCAACACCCCCTGCCTACCACTTGACTCCCTCTACCCAACTTGCTCCCCATTTACCTCCTCCCACTTGTACCTCCTTTTCCACTCTTGCCTTCAAGTAACTTCCTGTCCTGACTCCCACTTAAAAAATGTGCATCTTCACCTTCCCTCTTTTTTCCAGGGTCACAAGAGTATCACTCTAGGGGGCCAGAGGCTCATAGTAATCAAGCCCAACTCTTGCTTCTAACAACGGCAGCAGGTGCAGAGACAGACCACTTTCTCCTGTGATGCCCACAGAAAAACACCAAAGCACAGCCTAGCCTCCTCTGACTCATAACAGCAGTGTTTAGAGCTAGAAGGTACTTTAGGTATGGCTCACTCTTGACAACCCAGAGACCAGGCACAGAGAAGTGACTTACCAAAGTCCCCTCCCTTACCCCCAACACACAGGAATTTGGTGACAGCCTGTATGCCAGTCTACCAGTTTCTGTCTTCCCGATTCTCAGATCCTTTGCCTTTAGTATCTCCCTCCCATCCTATGAGTGTTTGGTGGATACAGCCACTATCCCGTGTTCTCATTCACTAATGGGGTCACCTGCAGCTATAGCAGTTAATGATCCTGTCTGACTTGAGCCCCAGCCACAGATGGCTGCTTTTACCAAGCTGAGCTGGCTCCATTCTGTGTTTAGCACCAAAGGCTTTTGAGTCCCCAGTCAGAGTGCATGAACCAGGATAAAGAGCAACTTGGTGTGGTGGTTGGTCCCACTTTTTGAGCATTATGTACAACTTTGCCTCCACTCCTAGCCAACGGGTCTTTTGGTCTTTCCTACTGTCCTTTACCAACTTCTCTCCCTGGCTCCATCTCACCACCCAGCAATTCTGTCATGTCCATCTCTTTTCTCAACCCATCTCATGCTCCATCTGCAGGACTGCTCCAGTGTTTTGGTACCTGTCTCCTTAACCTGTGTCCACCTCTGCCTGGGAGGCTTAGAGCAATTTCTCCCCAAGGTTAATCACCTCTGACAATCTGGACAGTATTTTGCTTCTGTAGGGAACTGATACTTAAAAGAACACAATGTGTCCTTGTGCATGACAAAGCCCACTTAAAATAGGACCCAGCAGTGAGCACTCAACAGAAGAGTCTGGGGTACCAAGGCCTAACTGCTATTCTAGCATCATTAGTTATATGACCAGAACCCCTCAACCATCTATGCCTCAGTCTCCTCCCCACTAACCTTAAAATAACCCTCTTTTGTGGGGCTGCATGTATGAGACTATCATAAGCATCACATGAGAGCATGAGGGGAATGTTGTAGCAGGCACAGAACTGTAGCACGGGCTCACAATGCAGATGCATGTATGGAGAAGAGCGGCTTTGAGTCATGGCAATGGCTGTGTAGTATGTAAAGTTGGTGTGATCACTTGGTTGGGCTGTGCCTTCATGTGTGATGGTACCTTAGTGACCATGTGTGGACCTGGCAGAGTGCTACTGGGGGTGGCTCCCAACATCCTACTCTGCTATGCTGACTTACTAACATCCCTAATACCAAGTCCTTTTGTCTAAGGCTTATCCTCCATACCCATCCAAACCAGTGACTCTCAGCCAAGAGCAGCAGCATCCCTCCTCCCCCCATGTGCCCCCCTCCCCCCACCTTCTTCTTCTCTGGAAGCTCCTTGTATTTCTTGGACAGAATCTTGGTCAAGTCCAGGTTGCTCATCTCAGGGTGGAGTTTCGCATACTTGGCCCGCTTCTCCATGAAGAAACGGAAATAAGGGGTCAGGGGCTTCTTTGGGAAGTCTGGGTGTTTCTGGAAGGTTAGAATAAGGACACGACAGAGGTCAGACATCATCTATTCTTTGGTTTATTCCTCCTCTCGCCCTCTGTGCTCCTCTTCCTGGTAACTCACCTTGAGTTTTTTGCCTTTGTAAGGATTTTTAACATGTTCCTGAGCATCGAGGATCAATTCTGTCAATGTACGGAACTTCCTTACCTGGAAGAAGGGAAGTGAGGGAAAAGCAAAGTTAGGAAATACTATTCTATCAGGCTCCACCATTCACCATGCCTAAACTTACTGAAGCCAACAGCCCACAGTGCAGTAAACCACTGACACGCAGGCATTGACTCAGAGGCCCAGGCAGTCAGGACACACCAAAGGACAGCCATAAGAGATTTCCTGACCTCAGTGTGGTTCCCCTAGTAGCAACTCCACTCAAGTCCCAGAAGAACTTAGACAACAGAAGCCCCCAGATATGAATATTCTAAGGTACCTAGATAGGATGTGATAGAATTTGAGACCCCTGGGCCAGTGCTATCACCTGTGCCATATCCTCACATAAGGCCTATGTTATGAACACCCCTCCCAGGTTCTTTACATCCTGTTCACAGAACTGTCTCATCTCCCCCAGGAAGGTTGAGATAGGGGTATGGGTAGATGTGTATTCACGTGTGTCAAAAGGGAAATGAGGTGGGTGGGGATCATTTACCTCATTAGAAATCTCCACCCATTTCAGCTTGCACATGTCTCCAGAAAAATCCTTAAATGCTACTTTTTCCCAGTCCATATGTGACTCGGTGGTTTTGAACTTGGAGCTGTCATTGGATGGAAGGTTGTTCTTCATGCATTCCAACAGTGTTAGCATGTCTTCCTGGGACCAGCGGTCTGGTGAGGGGTGAGAGGCCATCACACCTATTGCATGTCATCCTCCTCATCTGCTCCCAGTACCTGAATGTTCAAGCTTTCTTTCCCAGAGCCCCTGGCTGCTTCCCATTTGAACCAGGGCTTCTTTCCTTAGGCATGGCTCAGCTCTAAAAAAATCTAGATTAGAGTAGGGACTCTAGACCAGACAGCATCATACCTAGAAAGCCAGGTTCTTAACCCAGGTCTGACTTATTTCAAAGCTATTATCATTTGAAACATGCAGTATGCCATGGATCCCTATTTACTGAAGAGGGTAAGGGTAGCAGAGGGGGAAATGAAACTACAGGGATTTGGGGTTCTATAGGAGTTTGGCTTAGAGGAGAGGGAGAAAGGGAGATAACACATGTAAATGCGTTGCCAAGCTCAAGTCCATGTTCCTTAACATGCAAGGACTGAGGATGGGTAGTAAGGAAACTCCACTGTCCACATGATAAGAACAGGTATTTTTTTTTTTTTTTAAATCAGATTCAGAGGAAGAACCACACAGGGTAGCTTTGAGGAGAGGTCCAGCTGGTCAAAGGATCACAGGAGCCTACTCCAAGAAGACCCCTCCCCCCCAACTCCAAGTTGCTTTCACAGCTCAGTTCTTCAGGGAGGTAAACAGGGGATCTGGACCAGTTATTTTCAGCCACTAATAAGCAGCCCCAAAGAGCTCTGTGCTTGGAGGGTAGCTGCCCTGGAAGGTGAGCTAGAAGAACAGCCATCCACTGCCCAAGTCACTTTCATATGCATCTGATAACCTGGGCCAGGGTTTCTGCAGAGTGGGTCACATTGACCCATAATCCTCTCTCCTCAATGCTCCCCATGCTTTACCAGATGCTCAGCTTCACTCTGCCCTCCACCCCCATATACAGTGGAACTTTGCTGGATGAGGCACGGGTCAAACTACCTATGTAACTCCCACCTTAAACCACCCAAACACTCCTCCTTTTCCACCTGCCTCTCCTAAAACCCTTTCATTAACAACAAAAACACGAAAAGCCCTTCCAGCCCCTCTCCTCACCTTCCTCTCTACTCATCACCCTCGTGCACGAGACACAAAATGTACTCCAGGCTGCCTGGGAACCCCAGCAGAAAAGCTACCATAGTGTTCTCTGACCTCAGACACAGAAGAATGTGAAAACAACATATAGACTCGGGGTCAAATCATTTGGATTTGGCCAAAACACGCGTTGAGGGATTTTTGATTTTTGTAATACTCCAGACACCTTCTCCAGTTTCAGAGAAGGCAGACTGGAGGAGCCCTTAAGAAGGTGAGCCTTGCACATAACCATGTGGGAAGGACTTTAAAGTTATAGAGGGCTGGGCCTGGGTGTGGGAAGCCCCAGGCGGGAGGCCCTACCTTGGCCTTTGGGGGCGGCCATTTCCAGGTCTGTGGGGCAGTCGGCTTCTCCGTTCATCCTCCAGCAGTCCAGCCACCTCCTCGGTCGCGCTGGCCGGGCAACCCGGGGTCAAATGCCACCTCACCCTTTAAAAGAGATACCAGTCTCTACTCAGGCAGGCTGAGAGAGGAACTATCTCGCCCCTCTCCCAAAAGGGAGAGGGCGCAGGCCCACGTTCTCAGCAGAGCCAGCCTCAGACTTAAAGGGTCGGAGATTTGGAGGAGTGAGCCCCCCCTCTTTCTGCCCATCCCACTTTTTGCAGCTGGGCTCGGCGGCGTG